CTGGGTGTACTGTCATTTTATTTATTTGAAAAGTTGAAGAGATCCTATTTTATTTTTCTATTCATTTAGTAATGTAATAATTTGTTGTGTGAGCTGGTATTGGCATCTCATAATACTCTCATGTCCTTTATGTGTATTTGAAAAAATGTATGAGAGGTAATGGTGAGCAACAGAGGGTAGATGTGTGTGTGCTAAGGCTATAATTATGTTGCTCTAATGTTCCAGTCATTAGGCAGGGCGAAACACACGTTTCTCTCCGACTTCCCCTCAGGGAAACACAAGTAATAATGTTTCCCTCAGCAATTCCAAAGGCTGTTTGACCTAAAGGCATCTTTGGGCACTTGTCTCGCTGTTATTCGTGCTAAAGTTTTAAATTGTTAATGCAATTTCTTCTCTTCGACTACTTAACATGTTCATGGGTGTTTGTATGTTTGGTGGACATGTGGTACCTCCCAGGTTCCTCAGGGTGAATAAGGCTCTGAAGCGGCGGGTCAGGCCCACTGCTGGGTCCACCAGAACCTGACCTACTGCGGTCACCGTCTCCACACTGGTCATACTGCCACACAGGGTTTCTGATGGAAAGGAAAGAAGTTCTTCTTTTCACCACTTATTCATTTTAATACTTGTGATGTGCTGATTAAATAAACATACAAAATATATCTATTCTCTCTTAAGTACAAGGTCTGAGTACTTCTTCCACCTCTGTTCATTTAGAACTAAGCCTTAGTGCATCTTTAAATATCACTCAAATAAAATACTGTACATACCCATCAATTGGTTGTTGCTCAATGGGAGAGGTCCCTATGTCTGGCTGCACTTACTGTGTATCTGCCATATACTGTTTATATGGACTGTCCATATAGACAGAATGTATGGAGGTATCTGCTGGTGTCTCCCCGGCTGACATAACATATGGGCTGCCAGCCACGTTTCAGGCAAAACGAGTTGTGTTATAAAAGGCTGACCGGACAGAAGCTAACTGTTAGCTTCATGAGTTGGGTAAACTTCACATAAACATTGTATACAAGTAGCTATAAAACAAATAATTCACAAATAATATCCGCATTGCGGAACGTAACTTACCTCCACAGTCAAGAGTAGTTCTTAGAAACAGCTACACCCGCCTGAGATACACCGCTTCTGTTGCTGCCGCACGCTTACTGCAACTTCCGCTAAAAAGGCATGTATATCCGGGAGACTGTTTTTCAGAATAAAAGTGTTTAACTCACCAATTTTACTTAAACTAAAACACATATTTTTTTTAATATTTTTAAGAGTAATAGTAAAATAAAAATATATAGAGGAAAGTTGTATCAAAAGATTTTGCTGTCATTTTTCCAGCCAGCATGAGATACAAAATGTCATGTTTTAGAGTAGACGGCAATTAAACCAAAAAGTGACATATTGAAAACAATCCACTAATGTAAGCATAATTTGTTATTTCTTTGTTGTAACAATGCTTCTTGCATATACATCTTATACCGTTGGAAAGCCTGTTTATTTACCTTTCAAATGGTGCCATATTTATGAGGAACATGCATTTTTGGGATGACATATATTATATATATATTTATTTATTTATTTGTATCATCTTGTATGTATGTTGTATGGATATTTCGTGCAGATATACATTTATTATACTTTTCTTTGGTAATACCGCTTTTATTATGAAAAAATACGTGGCGGAAGTGTTCTTCGTGTTGCCGCTGGCGGGACTCTAGCTTGACTGTGGTCCTCTGAGCGGCAGCGTGCACGGGTCGGATGAGAGGGGGAGAGGAGACAGCTGGATGTGGGATTTAACTGAGACACCTTATCCGTCTCACAGCGCGGTACTGTCGGCCTGCAGATCAGCGGCCTGCCTGCCCACCGACCTGTGGTTCTTTCACGCATCACCCATCCTTGATGTTCTGCTGTCCTTCCTCCAGCGGTTCTTCTGTTCAGGATGCGACGGGCCCGCGCTGCTCGTCACAGTGAGGAAACATCCTTCAGCCGCTGTTCTGCCTCCAGGTGCCTGGCTCCTCTTCAACAGATAGATGGGATCATCGGGAATATTTAGCCTGGGTTAGAAGATTTAGAAGGCGTCGTGCAGCCGGGCAGGCATCACTGTGGGAGTGTCCTCCATCCTCCATAAAGCAGGTATGAAACAACAACAACACGTCTGCTCCTGAGGCTGCTGCAGGCTGGATCACATCTGTTTTCCTGCATGCTGTGTGATGTGGCCTGCAGCACAGTGGACATTGTGTCTCACAGAGCAGGAGACACATGGCTCCATTGTTGGCTGCTGTCAGTCCATCTGTCACTCACTGTCTGCTGTGCTTAACGTCTTCCATGCTGCACCGAGCCTGGCTACATTGTATAAAATGTCTTAAAAATAGATTGTCAAGAATATAAACAATATGTGTCATCATTGCTTAATTGTATTTTAAATTCAAATACATTGAAACCACATTTAACACTCAATTGCTAATTGATAAGGTATACCTGCACATTCTCATACAGCCTTGCCAAACCATTTCAGAGTTTGAAATATTAATTTCTGTTGGAAAGGTGAAGATGTAAATGTAATCATGAGCTCATTTTTGAATGGTTGGGTTGTACTGAACTATATTGTATTGAGAGGTGCTAATCATTTGTTATCCTACTTCCATACATCAGGGGCAAAATATCATTTGGTAACCATAACTAGGATCTCACTGCTGCAAACCCGAGGATACAAGTCAACATTAACGGCCTAATAAAAGTAGACTTTATGGCTGAACTGATGGGGGGCTTGAGACCTTACAGGTGTACCTAATAAAGTGTATTTAACAGGCCCTATAATGCTTTTTGGGGTTTTCCCGTGTGTTGTAGTTTTTACCCACACACTCCCCCCCCTGCCTGAAACGCTGCCATTAGACTCATTTGTTTACTTCTGCGACAAAGTGACATCATTATTTAACACTCACGCTTCTATTGGCTAGCGCTCCAACACATTGTACGTGATTGTGGCGGGACTTCTCTAAGTGGTTGACCAATCACAACAGAGCCGGCGAGCTAACCAATCAGAGCAGACTGGGCTCTGGTTTCAGACAGAGGGTGAAAAGAGGTGCTATGCACAGACATGTCACAGTAGAGGCACACAATGCAAATATGAACCTGAGTGAATGGCACTGGAAGTTTAGATTCTCAACTGAATAGTATCCCTACAACCTGATTTGATAGAGACATGTTTCTCCGTTAAAACAGAGGAAGGCCTTGATGATGGATGCTTGTATCCATCGTCAATGCCTCTTGCCTCATGGTTCCTATGGCAACAGTCATTCACAGACAGAGATGCATATCCAAAAGAGCTTTAATCTGCAGCCGTGTCACAACGAGTGTTTAATCCCTGTAGAGCTGCTGTTACCACACACTTCACTTGATAGGATTCATTCTTTCAGTCAAGTGTTTACTCAGATCAAACAGCAGCGTTACTGTGGCACAAACACATCTGGATTGGTAGTATTGAGGGTTTCCAGAGTCTTTTTGTACAGGCAAGAGAACAAATACATTTAAGGGGCCCTATTCTGCTTATTGTCAGGTGTCTTAATTGTATGGACATGTCTCTATGCTTTCATGTTCAAGCACCTCTTTTCACCCTCTGTCTGAAACCAGAGCCCAGTCAGATGATCAGACAGGTTAGAAACACACTTCCTGCAGGTTTGTGTGTCTTCTTGTTTTGACTGAAACCCTAATAGACCTCTGAAAGTATTTATTCAAACCCCCTTTGAGGGAAAAAGATAGGAAATATAAGGTAGCTTTTCACAATATGGACTCCATGCTGCTGTGTTGTTATACCTGACATGAGCAGATCCAGGTTCAGTGGCTATACATGTAAGTCCATTCAATCGGATTGTTCTTCTACGGTGAACATGTTATTTATAAAGTCTGTTTGAACCTAGGTGTGTGCTTTTAAAGGGATAATTGCACACAGATGCCCTTCCATACTTCTGAAAAGGGACTGTGCAGGAAAGCTGGATGCCTCTGTATGAAACGAGACAAACAGCCTTTTTCCAAAAGCTACATATATGCAACACAAAGCAGAAACACTTACCACGAGAGGTATTTATCAAGGGAGACAGCTCGGTTATTTGAGCAGGCTGTAGAAGGATAGCACTGGGTCTCTATAGCCCACTGATACTGTAGAGTTGACTTATAATAATACATCTATACTGTCCTTTATCCATAATATTAGCATGGACACATGCTAGATAAAGAACTTTGACATGTTGTGCACATGCATACACCTGTATTGTATGTGTATACAAATTGTAGGTTGTCACCGCATGGCTTTCGTTTTTTGAATGTCAGAATTCCTTTCTTTGTTTGTAACATTCTTTGCATAAACAAAAACCAAACAATTGTGATTGTGATGTGACGAATATTTGACATAAAAATAAACTAACATTCAGGTTTCTCTTTTTTTAACTTTTTATTTATTGACTTAGTTCGTCTATACACGTACTCTGCAAAACAAACTCATTAACATACAGTCAATAAAACAAGACAAAAAAAACTTGCCTTTTTGTATCCCCTAAATCCAAAATCAGTTTTGTTTTCTTTTAAGTGAATTTCTAAATGAGCTCAACCATATCTGTATTTCTTGTTTAGTATCAGCTGACATAAAGTAATAAACAAATATCAGCTTTGAACAAAGATCAAACACAGATAGTGAATTATGTTTAATACTGTATTCGACAATGGGTTTGAATTACGTTTATTTGGCATTATCAAATCAACATTATATGTGTCATCAAACTCCAGTGTAAGGCCCTCGCATAGAGGACAGTAGTACATGCGCATGGAGCCTTAGAATTCAAACACAAAACATCCAACTAACGTGTAGTGGGAGATCTGTTGTTAGAGTTTGTCTCTTAGTAGTAAATTCAACTTGTGCTATATATTTGATTTGACTCCATGTAAAGCTGACCTGTGTTCTCTCCAGCCCCCCCCCCCCCCCCCCCCCCCCCTCTGTGGCGGTGATGGCGGTGTTCCCTCTGCTTCCTCTCTGCGTGCTGCTCCTCTCCCTCCACACTCTGGGTGGAGCGTCTCCTTCCTGTCCTGTGAGCTGCCGCTGCTACAGCCTCACAGTGGAGTGTGGCTCCACCAGCCTGAGGGACATCCCCAAACACGTCCCCCCCTCCACACAGGTAGCTGCACCCACTCAGGGGGGACGCTACGGCTGGGTTACATCCACACACAGTTCACCATCAAGTCTTAATTCTTAGGAACATTCTCAACTTCTCTCTCCTTGATCACTTTCCCAGAAATCAAAACGGAATGTCAAACAGTTCATTAAAGTCGATATATGAATACAATGAATACGTCTAATACATCTTCTGCTCACATTTGTCTTCTTCTGAATTACAACATTCAATACAAAGTACATCTGAACAAAACCAAGCTCTAAAAAGAAAGATACATATTCAGAGATTATTATGAAGGAAATGAGGAAGCAAAATGAGGTTTTAGGATAAACCCTAACTCTCCCTCCGTCTCTCTTCCTCTTCCAGACCATCTTCCTGCAGGACAATGTGATTGGTCAGATCCGTCGTCAGGACCTGACTCTGTTGAAACACCTGCACTACCTGTACCTGCAGGTAACACACAACACACACACAAACACACACACACACACACACACACACACACACACACACACACACACACACACACACACACACACACACACACACACACACACACACACACACACACACACACACACACACACACACACACACACACACAGTCCAATCCGTGTCCAGGCAGGAAAAGAGGAGAAGCAAAGGAGAAAAGGCACACATTTTAATTTACCCAGCAGCATCAAACATTATGGTCTGGTTCCTCTTCCTCCAGAACAACAGCATCTCAGCAGTGGAGCCTGGCTCTTTCCAGAACCAGGGTCAGCTGTTGGAGCTGGCTCTGAACGGGAACCGGGTCCACCTGGTGACAGCTGACATGTTCCAGGGACTCGAACATCTGCGCATTCTTTACCTGGCAGGAAATGACATCACACGCCTGCTGGACTACACCTTCCGTGGTTTACAGGTAAGGCACGTGTGTTATGTTCATTACATTTGACTTGAACTTAATTTAAAGCTATGCAAGATGCCCGTCTCAGCTCATGACACTATGAGGCTCAGCTGATACGTAGAGTTCCTCCATGAGGCGCGTTCACACCAAGTACTTTTTCCACAATAGTTCATGAGAGCTCTTTTAGTTCTGATGAACTAAAGCAGATCGCGTTCACACCAAAATTAGTTCCTGGGGGTGGATTAGGCAAATGAACCGCTGACGTCACTTCTTCTTCTTCTGCTTTGGGTTTACTGGCAGGCCGCAAACAACTTCACGGTGAGTACAGTAGGTGGTGGTATGCACCTTAAAGTTGCAATCCGCCAAAAAACCGAGAGAAGAAGAAGAAGAAGAAAAACCTCCCGCGCCCCCCTGCTGTATATGAGGCGTCTGTTTCAACCCAGTCTCACGGCATTTCGTGTTATTAGTCACGAAATTAATTTAATCTATTGATTCGTGTTCACCAACACGATTTTCACATTTTTTTCGTGTCACACAGAACGATTTTAAATGCAATGTATTTCTATTGGTAGTATGTTTCGTGCCTGCAACACGTCTTTTTGTCCGGTCGGGTCTTGGAAGACCAGAAGCTGTGTGGTTCATAAAAACATGTTCTTACTCAATATTTTACCCTAAGCCTAATCCTATCCCTTTTATTTTAAATTGTATAATGTCTGAGTTTTTTTGCCGTCAGTGAGGAAAAGAAATGGCTCAGAGCCTCAGAATACTGAAATCTGTATTTTATGTCATCTTTTTTTCCTTCTAATTTGTTATTATTTGGTGCAGGCACGAAACATACTACCAATATAAATACATTGCTTCTAAAATCGTTCTGTGTCAGAATACTTAAATCTGTATTTTTTTTAAATGTCTTTTTCCTTCTAATTTGTTATTATTTACATTGCTTTTAAAATCGTTCTGTGTGACACAAAAGAAATGGCGAAATCGTGTTGGTGAACACGAATCAATAGATTAATTTCGTGACTATAACACGAAATGCCGTGAGACTGTGTTGTCTGTTTACCTTCCGACCTCAGACATGAGCTTCGTCTGAGTTATTTAAGCAAACACAAATATAGATCGTCGACCAGTCAAATGCAATAGCAATGCTGATTCGGAGGCGACGGCGGTTAAGAAGGATTGACAAAAGGATTGGACGACGACATGCACGCACTATGGATTGCGTAACCTGTGTGAAATGAATAAACTGTCATCACTCATTCACCAATGGGTAATGTTTAGATGGATTTTAGGAACTTCCCCTCGATTCTATTGGCTCTAACGAGAGATATGGAAAATGCACCCAAATGACCCCGGAAGTGGGTCTTTTTTTTCTAAACCTCTCTAAAAAGGTCAAATGTCACTTGTTTTGCATCAATCTTAATACAGGGTACTTATTATATGTTATAGTTTGGATTCCTAAAACTTTTAGTCTACTATCCCATCATTCAAGGGTGGTTTTCACTAGAAGTAATGTTTTTTGTTTGGACGGACACTATCATTTACATCTTTTTACGATGTTCAATCTGAATTTACGTTAAATTAGGAAAAATCTATATTGATTCTGACTCTTCTACATTCAACTCACAGGTTTATCATTGCTTTCAGAAAACAGATTATTAATTTAACCCTTTTAGAAGTGAAGATATAGTCAATTGTTCTGGGAATGTCATTTTCGAGCCTGAGGCCTGAAAAACAGGCTCAGGGCTTAACTGGTTAAAGTGATGTCTAAAACTCAGTTAATGGGGCTCATTCACTGGCGCTTCCACAAACAACAACCAACATAATGATTACATTCAAATTAAGTACAAGTTTACATTAACTTTGGATAATAACACGGGAGAAATGAGCAGAAGCGCTCTCTTTTCCTCTCTCCCTCCCCTGACAGCCCGTCAGTATCTCATGCAGCTCACTGATCCAGTAATGAGTGACCCGACAGTTTTTCATTTAATTTCAAACCTTTATTTATCCAGGTTGTATCCCATTGAGATCATTGATCTCTTTTTCAAGGGAGACCTGCTCAAGTAGGTTCCACATGAAACATTAAAAACATAACAGAGCAACAAAAGGACATCATACAGTAGCATTACAGGGATTACAATTTACATACTATCCACATGCACAGGTACCAACAGCTTCCGATTCAGTAGCATCCAACCGAGCTTTAAAAACATTTAGTGGCACCAGATTGCTCAGTTTCCATTTTAATTGCAGACTATTCCAGGACAGTGGAGCTGCGCATCTAAATGCTATTTTCCCTAAGACAGTCCTAGCAGTTGGCACATTTAATAAAACCACAGCATGCGATCTCAGGGAGTAGCCACTTACAATTCGCCGTGAGATCAGGGAGCAGATATAGGATGGAAGTTTCCCTAACATGGCTTTATATAACAGTGAAGATTAAACATATTTATAACTAGTTTAGCTTCTTCCAGAGGTAGATAAAATAGCTAAGTGTGTAAGGTCTAACTCTCACGGCCCGTCCACACAATTTTTTGGAATATGAGGAAATGACCTGCGGTGTGTCTCTCCCAGCATACACGCGGTTTGATTGGCTGCATAAACGGGATTTGATTGGCTGACGCTTCCACCGAAGCTTCAGAAGCTTCAAAAGTTGAACATTTCTCAACTTTTGCAGCGAGCCACGCCAGCAAAGCTCCGCTTCGCTTCCCACAATGCAGTTCGGCGAAAAGTGACGTCACCCCATTCAAGTGAATGGTGAAGCTTTCAACGCACGCCGCTGTGTGGACGGGCCTTTAGTGTGTGTTTCGTTCCGCTCACCGGTCCGTCACAGCGGGCGGAGCTGCAGGGTTTCTGCTTCACACACGTTGCATACCGCTATTTTACTGTCTTTTTCGGGCACCTTAAAATACTGCCAGACTGGTGAAGCCATTTTGGCGAGCTTGTTTTGCCGCGCACGGAGAAAAGTGTCATTTATTTTAAGTCATGTGATCGGCTCTCCCGATCGGCATTTATAGAGAGCACCGATCGATCGGCAGAGAGTGAATATCGGCCGATATTGATCGGCGGCCGATCGATCGGAGCATCCCTACCTTCTGTCATCAGACCCCTATTTCTGCCATGTAACATCAACTTATCAAACAGAACAGTTTAACTATTAAAGTTATCATAATGAGAATTTCAGTATTTGACTAGACATGATTTCACATGATTAATGAGAATGACAGGGTTTGACATTATATTGTTTTATCTTTTGACTGTTTCCCCAGCTAGCTGAGTTAATTAATTCTTAAATTAAATAACAAATTAAATTAGCTTCAAATCCAGCTTGATGCCAATGACCAAGTTGAAGGTGAGGTAAAGGCAGATGCTTTATTACGTGAGTCAACCCTCGCTGCATCAAAAAGCTCACTGATGCTTGATAAATGCTCCCTTTTAAGCCCTCCAAGGATAGGCTGTGGGGAAAAAGCCTCTGACAAATTCAACACAGCAACGGAAAGTACTTGTCCTCACCTCTCCCCTTATCCTCTTCCCACTCTTTTTCACCTTTTTATTTCTTCCTTTCTGCTGTCTTTTGGATACAATCCCATTTGTATCCTGTGCAGTCAAGAGGAACAGTTTTTTATTTTGAATGCTCAAGTAATATATAGGTATGGCCCAGAGTATCGGCAGAGAGTGAATATCGGCCGATATTGATCGGCGGCCGATCGATCGGAGCATCCCTACCTTCTGTCATCAGACCCCTATTTCTGCCATGTAACATCAACTTATCAAACAGAACAGTTTAACTATTAAAGTTATCATAATGAGAATTTCAGTATTTGACTAGACATGATTTCACATGATTAATGAGAATGACAGGGTTTGACATTATATTGTTTTATCTTTTGACTGTTTCCCCAGCTAGCTGAATCTGAGCTGAAAATGGGGCAACAATCGCTAGTCACCAACTGCACTGAAATCATTATGATTTACTGTGATAAAACAAACAGTTTAAATTGAATTGGAATCTTGAGATCTAGAAAGAAAGAAAAAGTGAGTTTGAATGCAGGACATACATAGTCTGAACGCATGTTAGTAAATGAAACCATGTTCTCTTAAATGGGTCACACTCACACAGATATATTTTCTTATAAATAGAGCAAAAGGGGACATTTTCTTGGTAGACTGCCTCAGGCCATCTCTTAGAGACAAGAGGCAGTTCACACACATTATACATTCAATTTATTCAAGAATAGACGCACAACACCAGCAAACTCGACGTGGAAAGCGTAAAGAATGTGCAGTACGGTCTGCGTCATGCTAGATGCACTGTTAATCTCTTCACTCTTTCAGGAGCGTGAAGGTTAATGGAAGTTATTATGCATGTAGTCCGCCCACACCAGCCAGCAGACACACGAGCTAAGAAACAGTCGCACTATTTTTAGAGGGTTGTACTTCTCTGTATCCCGGGAACAGAGAAAGGGGTTGAAGGAGACACTTGTTATTCCCCCGAGCCCCTGCAGGCCTGAGGGCAGATGAAAAGTTGGAGTGAGTCTTTGAATACCAAGTTTTCCTCCTCTTTTCTCTCTCCTTCCTCTTTCCTCTTTCCTCGCTTTGCTCGATCCATCCAGCTGTCCGCTCGTCGGAGTCTACCCAAAGGAGGGTCACAGTCATCCATCACCGGATTATTTCCTTGCTCTCTGTTCCTGGACGCTGCCTTGTATTAAGCGGCAGTTTGCTGGATCTAAACGTGGCTTTCAGACAATTAAATATGGCGTTTGTGATGGATGGATGGCGGGCCACAGCGAGTATACCGGGTTAATAAGTCCTGCTGTTAGTAGCACTGTTTTGCTGGTGCTGCGGAACTGTGATCTGACACACACAAACACACTTATACACACACTTGCGGAAAGACGGTAAAAAAGTGACATATCAACGTGGTTCGAAAGAAGGATAATTGGATCCTTGCTTGTTGTATGTAATATTGCAATATGCTGCTTGAGTTGCATATAACACACATTTTGCTTTCATAA